GAGCCCCGCCGAGGCGGAGGCCACATGACCGCGGCCGCTCACGTGACGCGCGCAGGTCACGCAGGGCCACGCTCACGTGATCACGCGGTGGCGGGGCTCCCGGGGAAGGCCCGGAAGTGGGGCTTTGCGGCGGTCTCCCTCGGCGGGCTGTGTGGGGCTGCGCGGCCCGGCCGTCCGGCGCCCCTGGCTTGTCCCGTGGTTCCCGGGCCCGCTTCCAAATGCACCGAACGCGCCCCCGGCGCCTCTGCCGCGGAGAAAGTGCGGGCCGCGCACCCGCGCGACGCTGGTTCCCGCGCTAAGGACGCCGACGCGCGCACCCGCTTCCCGCGACTTGGCTCCCGCAGCCTCCCCCGCGGCTCTTGACTCTCCCGGACTCGATGGACTGCCTTCTGCGCTCGTCTCAGAGCTCAGAGTTCACAGTTTACCTAGAGAGGTCAACAGAAACTGACACTTTAAAAAAGAAAACACATGAAGAATGAATGAATGCGGTGAGAATAACGACAGAAATAAGCACCGCATTCTATAACAACGCCTGGGGACGATATTTGGGAAAGAAAACAGGTGAAGAGTTGAGCCAACCTTGGAAGAAAGTGGCAGCAGAGAGGGTGGGGCGCTGAGGCCTGGAAGTGGGCGTGGAAGCCCGAGGTAGCGAGGGCGAGCTCACGGGCCCTGCCGAGGGGCTGTGGTGGAGCCGGTTCTCGGGGTAATAAAGGCGCCGACGTGCAGCAGAACCGGACGTGCAGGCTCCTGTTGACCTGCAGGGGAGCGAAGGAACCCGGGAGGAGAAAACACAACCTGGCCCATGAGAAGCCTCGCAAGGATTTCGAGCAGAGCAGCAAAAATGAAGCGTGTGTTTTAAAAAATTCCATCTGGCAACGCAACCCGACCCCCACTTTCTGGTTGTCCCCTGGCTTTGCCAACAGAATTTTGAGGGTGACAAGGCCAGAGGATTGTTAAGTATTGGAGAGACTGGAGGTAGTGAGGGCCTAGACCAGTGAAGAGGTGTGAAGAAAGGAGATAGAATAAGTATTTAGGAGGTGACATGGGGATGACTTTATAAGTAATAGCACATGAGATCTGAAAGAAAGGAAGAATTTGCGAATTTCTCCCAGATTTCTAGTGTGGACCCCCGATAGAGATCAGAATATAGGAAAAAACTGGGGGAGTGTCAGGAGATAGCTCAGTTTGGAAGTGTTGCCTTTGAGATGTCTGTACATGGTTCTCCGCTTCCCACCTCCCATTCTCTCTTCAGCTGCAAAGGAGGCGCCCCCAGTCTAGTGAAGCTGCCATGTCAAGATGACTAACAATTCCATCCTCCCAACTACAGTGCTCACTTCTCTGTCCTCATTTATTTCTCAGCATCGGTGGAAGCAGTTGGCAGCTCCCTCTTTCTTGGCCCCCTCGACACTACATTTCTGTTGTTTGTGTCCTAGTTTACTGGGGTCTCTCATCTACTATCTCATTTGTCACCTCCTCCTCTTCTACCTCAAATCTAAATGTTCAAGAGCTCCAAAGCCCAGGCCTGCGATCTCTTCCATTCATCCAGTCCCATAGCTTTAAATATCATTGTTACCTCTGCTGTCCAATAGGTAGCCATCACCGAGTGTGGCTGTTGAGCCCTTGAAACATAGCTAGTCCTAACTGAGATGTGCTGTAAGTGCGAAATACATACCAGGTTTCAAAGACTTAGTACACACACACAAAATGTAAAATATCTTGTTAATTTGTATACTGATTACATGTTAAAATGATAATATTTACATATATTGGGCCAAATAGGATATATTAAAATTAATTTCACCTGCTTTTACTTTTATTTTTCTGTTGGTTGAGCATCATCCTGTGCACTGAAAGGCTGCAGTTTCAATTCCCAGTCAGGACACATACCTGGGTCGTGGGTTCAATCCCCAGTTGGGGCAACTGATCGATGTTTCTCTCTCTCTTCCCTGCCCTTCCTCTCTCTAAGCATGTCCTCAGATGAGAATTAAAAAAAAAAAAAAAATTCAAAGAAAAATTTTAATTACATATGTGGCTAACATTGTATTTCTATTAGTGTTTATTTATATGCTGATACCTCCAAAATACCTCAATTCCAGACTGCTTTCATGAATGATAAGACTCCTATTCCAACTGCCTACTTGGCTTCTCCACATGGATGACTAATAGGCATCTCAAATATAACATATCCAAAACAGGATCCAGTTCTCTCACACATGCTGTACCTGTTCCTCTCTAGGTGCTCCCCAGTAAAATAACTGGCACATCTCTCCACCAGTTACTAGCCACGAGCCTCGCGGTCATTCTTGATG